ACCATCACCATCACAACCACCATAACCATAACCACCACCATCATCACCACCACCTACATCACAACCACCACCACCACCACAACCATCACCACCACCACCACCACCACCACCACCATCACCATCACCATCACAACCATCCCCATCACCACCATTACCACAACCACCATCACCACAACGCACAACCATCATCCTCATAATTTATGATACAACACTTTCCAGATATGTTGTTACCAATGTAATCCAGAAGCGCAAGAGATTATACGTGGCTTATGTAACTCTAATCGTAAGAAATGATTTGACGTAAAGGATATAGATGTCAGTCTGTCTGGACTGAAGTAAGAAATGACACCCAACACATGACTAGCTCGTGAGCTTCAAAGGTCAGCAAAGTTTCCTGGACAGAGTGTATAAATGTCCAGAATTCCGATCAGTACCTGTATGTTTCAAAGTCACCCGTTGTAACACTTGTTATGAGCTTCTGAGTAAGTCTGATGATTTCTTGTTCACGAGATGCTGAAAATAAATCGTAATCAGTGTTTTGAGTTGGTYATCTTTCTGCTCTTAGTATTCTACTACATTTAATATGTCTGTACTTTGTACCGTTTTTTCGTTACCTTTTAGATTTGAATCTGTTGCTTCATCATCTTCTGAATGAGCGATGAGGTCATCGTCTGAATCCTGTGGTAATATTCAATCAATAAGTGAAAACCAATTAGCCTTTTAAGTTTTTTGTAAGTCAAACTTATCTCTTACCTTTTTCGCTTTGACCATCGGTCGTACTACAATAMAACAGAAATTTCACCAAGTAAGTATTCATCAAATTTTAGATTTTTACATAACAAAGTGCTTACATTAAATACTGTGCAATAGAAAAGGGGGAACTGAGAAACATAGGAAAACAGGACTTATGCTTTCCACTAAGCCATGTGGGACAGGTTCAGAGATCGGAGCATGCGTAATAGGTACAATATAAACGACGAGGAACAACTTCGTGACAGTCTTCTTCGGGCGTTTTTCGGACGTTTTTCGGTTGTTCTTCGTCGAAATCAACCTGTTTCGCAAGCTCGTGTACCTTTACAAACACATGAAAGACAAGACGTTAACTCYACATACACRCAAYAAAGACACCAGCCGGYCATTACCACTKCCATGCACAACAAGGTTAATTTACGTTATTTATCAGCGAGAGCGCATGCGTGACTTGAAATTGAATGCWGAGCCCGCATTACTTTCTACTTGCGGYGRAGACCGAGAAATCTCCTGTCAATCAAATCGGTTTATCTAGCAAGTGACATGATTAGGTTTTATAGTAAGGCGAAAAGAACTGCTAAGTGAAGAGTTCTTAAAACTGTACAAGACAAGAAGAAAAGAGTGTTTCTATTCTTGGGTCCCATTCTCCTTTGGTTCAYTTTSTAGACAGCTACCCCGCAGGCGAAAAGGACCGAAATAYCAGAGAAGGTTCGTAGAGAACTGAGATTTAGAAAAAAAGATTTGCCAAACGTGTTTTACTAACATGTTTCTACTACCATTCCAAGTTTGTTGCTTTTAACCTTCACTTTATCTGATGGATTTCTGTGTACTAAAAACCAATCAACAGTCAGCCTGAAAAATGACCAGGTATGACGTAGYCTACGTCAATCACGCTATTTTAATCTTGTTGCCATGGTTATGTTAAGTATCTMCTGCGCATTATTAGAATAAGATGAATCCRCTGAATTTGCCGTCACGCATGCGCAGTTTATGTTAGTACGGTTAGAACAGTTCTTGTCCYCAGTCTACTAGAGGCGTTGTTGGTATACTGAAGCCTGACAGCCTGCGTTAGATCATGTTATTAATCTGTTATACTCCTGGGCATGCGCAGAGAAGAATAATTAGAAGCATTAGTAAATATGAAGTACATCATAATATATTTAAATGGTTACATCTTTTGAAAACACGACTTGTTTTATGAGCACTTTAACATTCATTTATGCACTCAAAAGCAATCTTAAAAACACACAAATTAATCAATAGATCTGGTCATAATGATTTTCATGACAACAAAAACCGAGATCTATATTATAACCCAAGGGGCAAAATTTAGTTATTTAGCTGTCAACAAATTGAGTATTTTAATGTCTGATAAAGTGAATTTACTATTAAAAAATTAAGTTATCCCGGTGTTAATTTGATTGACACCCTTAATTTTTCCCTTTATAATCATTACTGATTCAAATATGTTTATCCGCTATGATTATACACCCATTTATTCCTTTCCTTTTTTATTCATATCTTTCGCAATTTCTTTCCCATTTATTTGTTCAAACATTCGTTTATTTATTAACCCATTTATTTACTCACTCGTTACTTCATCGATTTATTCATTCGACATTGCTTTCATTTATTCTTTTACTTATTCTTTCATCCCATCCATTCAATAATTTATTCTGTCATTCTTCTATTCACGAATCACCTATTGATCCAATTTCCCATCCACCCATCCAAGAGTCACTCATGTTTCCAAGAGGTCATCTCATTCATGCTCTCATTTTTCGTCCCATTCATCCTTCCATTTATTTATCAATTCTTACATTTATTTCATCCAATATTTATCAATTTCCCCTAGTCATTTAGTAATTAAACAAATCCCCAGATTAAAGTTTTWATGGTTTTAGTTTTTATGATGTACCTGAGTTAGCAGAGAACCTACGAGCGACGATAGTGGTTAAGATGGCACCCTAAAACACAACACATAAAACACATAAAACAACATGTCTAAAATACCTTGAGACTGCGGTCTTACAACTCAGCGTACAGGCTTGCAARWGCATGCGAAAAASAGCTTCCTTGGTTCAAATCATTGAATAGGTTTTCAATTAAGTTTTTTTATTATCCTTATTCCAAATAGAAATAATTTATTTTGAATGCAGAAAATATATTACCATTGTCAAAAGAGTGTAAAAGCTACCCTCGAAACGTAAAGGTTATTAATTCACGGATAGCTGCGATAGACCCGACGACCGAGTTTCTATATCCGCAAATAAAGGGAGTCAGTGCAAAGAAAAACGAGCCGATGTTACGAACACTCGCTATTACGAACTCAACATCTTGTGGTCGGCACAGGGTGCCCGCAATAGAGAGGGTTCACAACATCATTATTATACCCTATATATATAGAACTGATTTCTTTTAGGAAAAATTCACCGTTAATTCTAACAGGTGTTCCTCGCGTGTTAAAAATAATTTGTATAATGGATATCATAGATATATATATAAACATGCCAGGAAGAAACAGCACTAAAAAAGCATCTACAGACGACAAGGTTTTTATGTACTATAGCAGACACTACGATATTAACACACACATTAAAGCGAATGGAAATTCAAGAGATTATCTGTGCATGTACTGAGATAAGCCTTTTGATTCAATGGTAGAATTAGGCAGCAAACCCTCTAGGCGACAAAACGACTCAAATCAAATCTACATAAAACATTTTTTTATCGTACGTGCATATACTGATTTAAAAGCAAAAACGAAGACTACATTCAAAATAAAATAGTCTAGGAACATGTTGGCATCCTTCGTAAAAAATGTCAGTCAAAATGTTGATTAAGTAAATGAAAACGATCTTTTAAATGGAATAATATAAATTCGCCAAGAGAAAATCATAAGCATTAATAAATTTCCTCGGATTGTAAAATGTAATATTTCCAGTCGGCTCACACAAGCAGCCGCCTGTAAGCCCTTCCTGTAAGACCACAGCCTCGCGACCACTTTGCTGCCAAGAACATTTCATTGGCTTCAAACATTCAATTGGCTTCCAACATCACAATGGCTTCCAACATTCAACTGGATTTTGCACTGAAATGGTTTCCAAGGCAAAACACGAATATTTTGTTTCTCTTTGACAGCAAAGTGGTCTGTTTRTGATAAAGCTTAATTATACCTCCATGACTGACTGAACTGAAGTTGGTTGTCGCCAAAATCGTGGTCAGAATAGCACCCTGAATAAAATGGATATCACGTGATCTAGCAGCGTCATGCAAGCCGTATTTAAGTACCAATTACAAGCTTGCCCTTTCAAATTAACAGAATTTGTGTTTTTTYATTGTAAGATCTTTTTATTCCTTTTAAAATACTTCTCTTCGGCCGAGCCCGTGCAATATCACGAAAGATTATATTTAAGAGTCACGTTACATACATTAAGTATTATGCGGTCAGTGCTGTTTAGAGAGTAAATAAAAAACAAGATTCAAAGCCATGAATTATTTTCAAGTAAAATCGTGTCAGTACAAAAAGTACACCTTAGCCACTCCACCCTGGTGACAAATGGAGCCCTTGGAATGACTGACGTTACCTTTAGTTTTCTTCTTGCGTTGAACTTCTTCAATCCGTCAAGCGTCTCTTGACGGTGAACTTTCGACGCAACCCGTTCACGGTTCTAGAAATGTAAAAACGTAAACGTAAGTTGTCGGCAAAATAAAACGAGAAAAAATAATAAACGTGAGTTCGACTTATAGCCAGAGGAAAATCAAGGGATGGCATTTACTACGACGAAACAAACAACGAAATGAAAAGAGTATGCAAAACAGTACACACTACGAAATAACGAAAAACAAAATAATATAAATGAAATTACGAAATGTAGCGGAAACTAAACGAAATGAATAAACTAAGAAATGAATACAAGAATGAATTAAAACTGTACTGCTCACTTGTCATTGTAATCCCATTTTAGCGGTAAAACTTATTCAATGCTTCAAGATTTTGTCACATTTCATTAGAAAATGGAAATAGTATATAAGTTCACTTCGTGGTTGGGGTACAAAAAAACGTGATAACCATGATCAATATGAAAAGCTGTTATTAGAAGTTTCTTTGATCAATTAAATTTCCCAGCAAGGAGGCGAAAATCTTTAAAAGTACACAGGCTCATTTGTAATTAAAAAATGAAAATGAAATAGAAGGTACTCGTGTTGGAGTGACAGACGATACTACGTTCTCTGATGATTGAGCGTTGCGAAATAAAATTTACTGAAAATGCAGCATTTTCTTAACTGTATAACTATCAAGTATCAAGGTAACCATTATTTAATGAAGTGAAAAGATTTTTTTCATTAGTTTTTCAGTCGATTAAAGTATCAGATTTTTCTTGTTTCAAATTCTAGTTGTTATGACTTTATTCTTTTTTTTAATCCGGTTTTGTCTGTCTTCCTTTCTTCAAGTTGGCATCAAATCTGACTTTTTTCAGTTTAATTTCCGTTGTCATCCTTTCTCGTGACACACCAAAAACAACATTCAAAGGAAAAAATTTTCGCGAGAGCAATTTTTAGACGTATATAAAGCGGTTGCGTTTTTGTATTGGGAATGAGAACAACGYTACGAAAACGTAGTAATTTTACTAASTTATTTTGCCTATTCGCTTGCTTTGCCTTACGTAAAACGTTACGGAAACGCATCAGTGTCGACTGGGGCTAATTGACTACAGGACTTTTGCGTTTAGAAGTATTTGTATACGTCCAATAAATATTTACCGTAGGTGGAGATTGTTATAGGATAGTAATGTTAAACTGTTTATAATTCAACTAAGAATTAAATTTGAAGCGTTTACAAGAATAAAAATGAAAAGATAAAACGTTTTACTGCCAAGAAGCAAAAGGACAAAGGCAAAATGAAATTATATCCATTTTAGCGTCGMATCACAGTGTTGTTGAAAATTAGGTCTGGTGTTTATACAAGAGATAATCCCATAATAGATCTGTGTCCCATATTTATACATATTATAACCGCTCTTAATGAAAATGCAAACTTCCCATCTAGTTTAATACAAAAATGCGAATATGGACAGATTGTTAACACAAACGAGTAAACCCACACACGCTGCTTATTGTTAGAAAAGAACTCATTAATAACCAAAATACATAAAAATCACTAGACAGGAATGAAAGAAATGGGAATTGGATACAAAAACGATTCACCATTATTCCGGTGAAATCTCTGCCAAAACACTTGGCTACCTCGGTGTTACGATTTATCCTGTTGCTCTCCCTTAACTTGTTAAAACGCGAAATTCTTCTTTATGGGTTTTTTGTGATGATTTAGTGATAAAAGTTCGACCAGATCTTGCGTTTTTTCGTAAAGTTATCAATTTATGTTCTTACCACAATCCATGGATGTCTGAGAGCTTCATGTGCTTGGATTCGTTTAGTTTGGTCTACAGTCAGCATACTATTTATCAAGTCCTACAAAAGATCACATCATGACATTAGCGCCAGAACTTGTCATGTCAAGATCACGTGCACATCACGTGGAGAGTTATAACGCTTCGCTTTATGTGATATGTTAGCGGGACGCTTACGARATGCTTCCTAAGTTCTCTCTTTCATACGCACACTTGTTCACACTAATACGTTTTCGTAGCGTTTTGCATCGTTTTTCAGTCCCTTGAGCAAGTAGAAAAATGCAGAAGCGTTAATGAAACRTATCAGTGCYTTTATAGGCGCATTAAACCTGAGATCGAATACATTAAAATTCTTAAACAAAGGTTACTACGTTACCTTAGCTTCATCTGTGACAGTATCCCATTCAGGAGATGGATACTAAAACGAGAAAAATAAAAAGTTGTGTCTCTACAACATTCATCTAACTTACAATTCTCAGGTTATGCAATCAGTGAAAATTGTTAACAGTGACGCTTGGATTCTCCACCTCCCCCACGGGGAAATTGTTGTATCTCCCCCTCAGGAGGAATTTGTTGACTTACATCATAAGCGCCAGCCTTGATTTGGGCGTATAGCTTGTGTTGATCTTCATCCCAAAATGGCGGGTAACCAACCAATAGAATGTAGAGAATTACACCTAAGATTAAGACGAACTCAATATGTAAGACTTAATGATCTCAATGAATAATGAATGGTTGAATAAACGAATGGATGGAGAAAGGAATAGAAGGATAACAAACTGGATATATTAGAAATTATATATAGATATTAGAAAAGTCTTGTAACTGAGGAGGTTTTACAATAAAACGAAACTAGTTTTACAGACAATACAAGCTGATYGTGCGTCAAGACCGAAWAACTTGAGGAAATCAAGATGAAATTAAACTGGATATAAACTTACCACAAGCCCATAGATCAACGTTTCTTCCATAAGGCTCTCTCTTTAATACTTCAGGAGATAAATAACCTGGTGTACCAGCAAAACCTACCACACAAATAAACACCCATKAACACGGGRACAAATCCACGAGTTTCCACGGGGACAAATCCACGAGTTTCCTTAGGGAGGGGTTGAGTTCTCCCAAGGGGGGAGGGGTGCACAATAAACTTACCATACCACCCATGCTTTTCGCTTTCTACTTCAATTGCAAGGCCAAAATCAGCTAGTTTAACAATGGCACCCTTTTCCTTGCTGGCAAGAAGTAAATTTTCTGGCTGCAAACAAAAATATTAATACAACTTTATAAGTACAATATGACATCAAGAGATATGACTTAACATTAATTTTTATTAATAGATATCAATAAATATTATTGCAGTACTTGCCTTTAAATCTCTGTGGACTACATTGTTTGCATGACAATGTTGGACGCTTTCTAAAATTTGTTGAATACAGTGGCTGTGAATAGAATATGCCGACATTGTCAGTGTTAAACTCCTGTGCATGCGGTGAAATAAACCACGCTGGATCGTTGGGAGAACACAAGAAATGATCTGTAAATCAAGAGCTGTCAGACGAATGATTTACCTTTTCGCCAGTAAAGTATTTCAAGCTATAGTTAATTGCTTTTATATTATAGCTGGCGTCTGCTATTTAGACTCAAAAGTCAAGGCAGCAGGCTGGTTTACCAGCGAAATAAACCATAGCTTTTCTCATGAAATCCGCCAGTCAGCATGCAGGTTAGAATTGAGCTATAATATTAATACATATGATTGAATGATGAGATTAATTCACATCAAACTACCTTGCATCAGCCTCACTATAGTACTCTCTKGCAACAATGTCCTCAAACAATTCACCACCTGTCACTCTGCAAGGAAATGTCAATCAAAACCTGTCAATCAGATTGACTCATTTGACCATGTCTTGTCTACTTCTCCCTTTATCAGTGATTTGATCAATCCTGCCTCCCCCTTCCACCATGAGTCATTAAAGCTGGCTTTCCCTCCCCTCCCCCAWTGAACAATTTGATAAAGTTTCCCCTACCCTTTCTACTAATGAATCATAAGATTTAATTACAGCATGTTCTGAGAACTTACAAATCAAATACCAAGTAATGATAACCCTCTTCAGCTATGCTTGCATGGAGCCTAACTGTTGAAATACAAGAAAATTCCCTATCAATGAGAATGCAGTGAAAAAATCCAAATGGACATGCACTTTAAAATCAAAGTGCAATAGTCAAGTACTACAAAGCGAGGTGAGAACACAACTCAAACATATTGAATCCATGTTCTATGATTTTCAGTATTACACAGGCAACCCAGGCACAAGAGAACTAGCCTTGGTATTTATGCCAAATAAAACATAGAAAGGCCATGATTACAGTACAATCAATTTCATTTCAAGTTTTTGCACAATCTATGAAATCTGTGTTATCAGGCCTTATGTGGACTGACGACCTATTTGTAGCCAACACAACTGCTTAACTAGCTGTTTGGCAATCCTGGTTCAGACATCAGTCTTTTCCCACATCTAATCAAATTTCTTGCAAGTAAATCACAAGATGTTTTCAATGTAAATCAATTACTATTTATTTAAAGATTATACTGACTCTAATTATGCAGAACAAAATCCACAAATGTCAATAAATTCAGAGTGSGAACTGACAAAAGATTGTCTGACAACTAAGTCTAAGTTTAACATTTCTTTCAGAAAATGCTTGATCTCACTTTTATCTTCCTAACCTCTAGTCCTCCCAGCAAAAGGACTGTCTATATATTGACCAACTTTAAACACATAGTCAACCTCTTAAATGCAGAAGCTATCAACACAGAATGGCTTGCACTTTATCTATGTCTACACCATAGAGTATTTAATACATATTATCAGAAAAATACTGGGCAGGTGACTTTGACCTATAACCAATCAATGCATAACACCTGTTCCCAGTTATTTATATGACGTGTAAATATAGTTATCAACTTTGTATGGTTTATCCACTGAATGGATGAGGATCTAGTTTTATTCATCTTTCAAAAATCAGTGAATGTTTGCATGTGCTTCTCTACATTACATACATGTTGTTTTTCATTGTGCAAGCATTTTTTTTGTGCCACAGAGGTTTAAGATATATTATTGATAACTGTAGAAAAAAACACACTGATCAAGGACATTATGAATATAAAAACAACACAAAATGTGAGTTGCATATATGAGTATGGATGCAAATATTTCATAAAATGAGTGAAAACAGGTTTTGTCTTTAATGTTTTGCTTTAATCCCAAATAATTCAACCTTTTGTTGCAAGAAAAAATTCAAWTGTTTTACTCTACAAAAAAAGATTATAGATTATTTGAAGACAAAATTGGCTTATTGAACTAATGGATGTGACCTTATTTGAATCTCATTAAACTCTCTTCAGTCATCAAACTGATAGCATTTAAACTAAGTTAAATGATAAGGCAACCTCTCATGATAATAATGTTGTCATGACAACAAAACCTTGTATTTTATAGCATTAGTTTTCTTTGATAACATTATTTCCCTAAATCTTAGGATTATGGTTTTAAGTGTACTTTCTGWATAAAAACAGTGAAATCAGCTGTTCAGAAACGATTTTTTATCACAAATTTTTATGGTGGGTTGGTTATAACTTGATTTCAGACGAAATATTTAAATATTTTATTTCCTTAGTCTCTCAAAGGTATTTTTCAAACTCAAATTCTAGGATGAGTCAAATTGTAACATTATTTGATATATAACTAAAATGTAACTAATGTACAATTAGAATTTACTAAAATGATCTATAGCTTGGAAATCCAGTATTTTATATTAAAAAAACTGAAGAAATGTTAAATCCTGTTTGATGGGATGTGGATTATATTTATCCAAGATCAAAGTGTGAATGAGAGTCATGTTCTAGTGTCAGAGAGAAAATACATTTTAATTTCTTGATTGTAAACTTAAGGAATTGAAAAGGTCCAATCTGGGACGAAACTAGTTTTCCTTAAAAGAAAGTTTCTTGGCGTGACTGTGTGTTTAAGACTTCACGTATTGGGTTTAATCCTGTCCAGCATTATGTAATTTCTTGACTATTACCAAAATTATATCTTTATTGGAATTAAATCATTGGAATGATATCATTCATTTTTATTAACTATTTTTGTTTTGGATGATATATGTTCTATGCAGAATTTAAAATCTAAACTTTTTTAGTTTTTCTTCACTTTGGTGATGTTTGTCACAATGCCTTTGTAGGACAAAGTTCAGGTCATTTGTAAAGCTGAGAGATGAGTTTTCTAGCAAATGTGCCAATGATTTATCTACCAATCATAAACACCATTGGTGACTTCAACCATCATGATATAATCAATTTTGATTAAACAGAACCAGACATTCTGTTAATAGGTCACCTTTAATTTGACCACAAAATATTCTGACATTTTGATACATAATAGATGTATTTTGGGAGTAAAAGGTTGTATTAAAAGCTATTTTCAAGTAGTTTCTTGTTATTATTTTTTGGCTGAAAAACTTAATAAAAAGACATATTTCTGTAAGGTTTATTAAATCTTAGTTAAAATCATGAATAATGTTTCGTCTTTTGCACAATGTTTTCCAACAAATGATAATTTAGTGAATTGTCTTTCAAATAATAGCAATTAATAATATGCAACACAATTGAGCTTAAAACTCGATATCATKTAGTTATTTACTCACAAAATTTCATGAAGTTCAAAGTCATTTTACTAGCATGAAAATCTGATATCTCAAGTTTAGCACAATTTTAAAATGAGCAAAATATACATCTGGGAGTGACGCATTCGGTCTCCAACAGAGAAATGAACAGAAACTGTTCTTGAAGAGTAAGAGTTTTGATTAACATGATGTAGGAGTTTGACTAACAGCATGATAGACTCAAAGATTGAGAATATTGTCTCCTAGTTACAATATATAACAAGAATGAATACAGGCTACAGTATAATGGCATCAATAAACCATGTGTGGTTTCTGCATAGGGGAATAGTAATAAGTTTATATCTATGATAAAAAACACCTGTATTAAGAGACTGAATAAAATTGTTGTAACGACAATGCCTTCATTATACCAACCACGGCACACAATAATAAATTCAAATACCACATCAATAAGCCTGTCAACACCTCTAGAATACGTTCAGTCAACCATTTTATTTATATTTCAGTTTTGATGGGAAGTTTTTGATTACTATCAAATATTTATAACTCCTTAAGATTTTATGCAAATCATAAAAAATTTCTCAATTTCGTGACCGGTGTTCCGTACCAACTGACCCTAGATGCCTAGCAGTGCTTTTTGAAGCCGCTAAAATACTATGTCAACAAAAATAATTCGTCTAACTTGAGATAGACCGTTACAAAAGCAATTATTTGATTAGAATTGTTCAGACAGGTACATATATTAGTACAGAAAACCATTTAAAAGCCTATCACAAGCCCGTACAGTGCTCCGCTTCGACTACACCTAAATGGCTTCCAAGAGCATAAACTTGAGAAATATTTTGCAGATATTACGGCAAAGATAATATCTAGCAAACAACCCTGGAGACAAAACTGTCCAAAGCAAACAAAAAATACTTGAAGAAAGTGCCTATTTGCGATAAAAATAGATCGGAATTTTTTCCGAGCAATTTTCACTCCATCGACTTCGAATCACCGATCTGTACAAGCTCAAATTATTATTACCATAGAATTTCGAGATTATATTTAATCGAATTACATAGTTGGGATGGAATATTTCGCAGTTTACCAAACTAGTGAAAGTGCAGTATTTTAATAAAACAAAATAAAATTTCGCGCTAAGAGTTATGTAGCACAGTCAAGAAGTCTGCAAGTGTCTCAAGTCAGTCATCGAAAATATTAAATGACATACAAAAACTACGAAAATCGATTTGAATAATATATAGCGAAGTTCAAGAACTTAAGAATTTCACCTAAGAATTTAATCTCTTTGTATGAACGGTGTGTTTTGAATTATAATTCTTTCTTACCAATGTTTGGGTGTTTTAGTAGACGACAGATTCGGGCTTCACGGTCCAGCTTCTGTAGGTCTAAAATACAACATTATAAATCAAATTAATATTACTTTTTCGTGATTTTTTATGTTTTAAGCGATATATAAGAGAAAAAAATGTTTCGTGAGCTATGGGAGAGATTAACCAAAAAAACCTCCCCTTCCTAAGAAACTTCATTCAAATTACTGCTAGTGAAATGCAAGTCGTACCAAGAAAATGCCACGCACACGAACAAATGAGTTCAATGTAAGCAAAAACAACTTTTGTTTTGACCTGCTTTTCGTCTCTGTCAAAAACATAAAACACTACTTTCTTGGAGATCAAATTGGGATTTTGTTGTCTCATTTCATCATTTTCCCTTAATAAAAATTGAGTGACTGTAGATTTAAAATTCGCCCTAATTTTGATATAAACAAAGCGAATTCTAAGTTTATGCCGAAGGTTGTAGCGGAGTACTTGCAGTCTAATCGACAGAAATGTTTTTTACCGAGTTCAACCGAGTGAGAATATCTCTAAGTTGGAATGAAAAGTCTTTAATACTAACCTCTGCTCGACAGCTTTCTGGTATTAATAATTTTAGCCGCATATTCGACGCGACTTTCTTTATTGATACATCTACGAACTATGCTGAACGCACCTCTGTAGAAGAAAATACAACATTACCATTTTCTTGACAACATAAAGTACAAGACAGCATATCTACGGTGTAACATATGAGTGCGAGACGAGTAATCTTACTTTCCTAGTTCTTCTTTAAGATCGTAAGTGTCGTGAAAGGACCGCGAAGCGTGAATAGCCGCCATCTTGCTTGCAAAGAACAACACAGCCCAAGCCGTTATCGATTAGATTGAATATCACGTGATACATTTCCCAATCGATAATTTCACATCTTTTTCTTTATAGCTTTATTCCTTTAATATTTTATATAAATACTCACTTGATTGTTTTAATATTTTATATAAATATACCCCCAAAACGTTTAACTTTATATCGTAAGCACGTAAAAATTTAGCAGTATTATAAACGTTGTTTCTTTGCCAGGACGAATTGCTTATCTATATACTTGCGACTTAATTTTCGCAATCTGAACTCCAATATTTTGTAATTTAGATCTAATATTAAATCTAGTGGTTAATCTGTCTGCAAAATATCGCATAAGCCAGTTTTCAGGCACAAAAAAGGACTAATTTATTTGAAAAGATTTTAGACAGTAAAGACTGCGAACACCTGGCGACAATCTTTGTCCATAGTGAGTTGAGTTGTCTCATCGCAGAAGACAAATAAATCCAGTCAACGCAAAACAATACAAGTGAACAAGCCGTACTCTGAATGAGTATTTACGTGCTTTAAAAACTGAAAGAAGACGCGACTTGTTCATGAGTTTATTCCTGAAAGGCCATTGTTGGGATGATATGAATAGCTCGCGCAAAATGTGGCAAGTGCGAAGAAACGGGAAATGACTATTGACAGTTTCTACAAACCTGCTCTATGAGGAAACGTAAAAACAAGATTGAATAAACTAGTTCGCATCAGATCATACGAGCTTAATGAAAAATGCGCAATTTTTGACTAGTCCACAAAATGATACTAAAATCTACTGAAAAATGGCAGGGAATTTCTAGAAAAAAATTTAGACGGAATCTTTTCACAACAAATATCTAGTTAATTGATAGACTCTCTGCCTTATTTGAAGATCGTCKTTTAGTAACTATTTTTAGCTTCACTTTCGCGAGCACATAGATGTTTGCGATAAGCTCCAATTTATATACCAGTTTCAAGGTGTTTTCAAAGTGCAAAGTAAACTTTCTCGAGATGGACGCCAGTGACGTCTTTGTTCCGTCAAAAATGTCAGTCTTTTTTTGAAGATCCATAATTGGTAACAAAATACGCAAATGGTCTTTTCGCGCATTCAAATTGTAGTAATAATTGGTTTGGTACTAAGTAAAGTAAATGGCTTAAGGCTTGTTTTTACCAAGGAMATAATAAAAATTGTAATGTGCCTTGCAAGCTTGTCTTTCTGTGGCGTTCAAAATGAGGCACAATCTTAATTGATTATTATGCACCACGTACACGATGGCTTATTATTGATCCTCTGTGAAATCCACAGACAACTATTAGTACTTGAACGACTAATATAGCTGAAAACACGTTTCCTATACTCCCTATAAACTCGACCATTAARTCATATTTAGGAATATTTTTRAATGTACAATTATCTTAGACACAKCTGAATAAAAACGCTTGGCTTTTGGGGCGTGCACGTATTGAAAATTCCACTGGAGTAGGCATAAAATTGCACAAAGCGTRATATTTTGAAATTTTGATATGCCGTGATACAAGGGTTTTGATACTATGTCACTCAGTATTGTCAGTARAGTAAGGCTGGTCCTTGACAAGCTAAGTATAGCACCGGATTTTCACTAATTAGCAAAGACAGCATCCTTTAGTAATGTGTATTGGTAATGAGGTAGATTTTAAGTGACGGAGAGCGAGAAAAATCACTATTTCTACCCATTATTCTCCTAAACAATAATATTTCTAACTCTATTAATATTCATGTTTTATAATAATCAATATTTAGAGTATTAT